CTCCGATCACAAATGCAGACATGGTTTTATGTTTAAGCGGCGCAACGCAACGTGTAAAAAGACCGTATAAGTCATTATAATTCATAATTATGTCCTTATGCAACTGGATGTAACGAATGCTGTGTTTATAATGGGTTTTCATGTTTTTGAATCATCGCTCCGGCCTGACAGGGCATCATAAGTATGGTAGGGGCGTAACATTTCAGTCACACGCTTGAGGTATTCGGTCAATCACAACGCACTGGATCGCTGGCCAATCAGAGCACACCTTGCTTTTCAGACCGAAGAGCTTTGTAAAAATCGACGCGCTTCAGAAAGGCGGGGCATAGAGGAGAAACAATAATGTACAGTACGTAGAAAATACATTTTTTTTTTACCTTAAACCACATAAACACATTTCATTACACCAAATAATATTCTTTTCAGCAACATCATATGACCCCTTTAAGGCTGACAGCTCATCTTAAAGTGGGTGCGATATTGAGTTGCTTTCATCAATCCAGCCTGTTAGAGGATCAGCATTAAAGGAATAAGACAACATCGATACGGCCATGGCTCTGACCAGAACTGCTCACCTTTCTCGTCTGCATCTTCTCAGTCCTGCGCCTGAAGGCCACATAGGGGTCATTGGTGCTGGAAACGTCCCGCTTTTCCTGCTTGATGGTTGGGATGAGGGATCCGTTTTTACACAGTTTCCTCTTCCTGCTCCAGTACTCAAACACCTCCCTGATCAGATCATCGTCCTCCTTTAGTAAAAGCTTTGCTTCCTGTAGGGTCACCAGCTGTGGTACAGGAATAATTTGGTTAAAAAAAAAAGTAATAAATAATAATAGCATTAATATATATATATATTAATTAGTAAAAATGAAATTAATAAAAAAAAACAAAAGAAAAATTATAGACCAATTAATATAAACTACAGTTTAAAAAGTTTCGGGTCAGTAAATTTTTTAAAAACGTTTTGGAAAGAAGTTTCTATTATTATTATTATTTTAAAATGTAATTTATTCCTGTGATCAAAGCTGAATTTTCAGCATCATTACTCCGGTCTTCAGTGTCACGTGATCCTTCAGAAATCATTCTAATATGCTGATTTCCTGCTCAAGAAACATTTATCATCAATGTTGAAAACAGTTGAGCTGCTTAATATTTTTGTGGAAACTGTGATGCATTTGTTTTAGGATTCTTTGATGAAGAATAAATGCATGAATAACCGCATATATTTGAAATATACTGTAAATCTTTTCTAACATCATGAATATTTTTACTGTCAATACTAGGGGTGTGACGAGACGCTTATCCCACGTGACGAGACACGAGACCGAGACGAGACGAGATTTTTAGACTTTTTAAAGAAATCCTCAATGAAAAATAGTCTTTTAATCAACTGAAAAACACAATGCAAAAAAGTAGGTGCATTTGGAAAACAACTTGTACTTTGAAATTAAACATTTTAATACATTTTATGCAGTAATAAACATGTAAACACTGCAAAATGTTTTGCTACAAACTCAACTGACAGGCAAGTAATTGCACAAAAATGATATAGTATAAATAAAAATAAATAATAAACAACATAAATATCCCTTTAAAGTGGAAGTGAAGCAGTCAGTCAAGTTTACATTTAGTAAACTGATTTCAACTTTAATAAAAAAAAATATATATATAATAAACACGATTAATGTATTAATTTAAAAGAATAAAGCAGTGGTTGCCAAACTGGGGTGCGCGGCAAGGCTGAGGCATAGTTAAGGCCCTATGAAATCCATTTAATTTTTTTCCAAATTCCATTTTTTCCCATTAAAATTTTTCTCAACTCGTTTTAATAGTTAAATAACATTTTTTTTAATTAAAAAGCATGTCTAATTTATTAAAATCATTAAACTTATACATTTTCACATCGAATTATTAAAAGTTTAACACAAATTACAGGTTTAGGGCCTTATGAATTTTTTTTTTTTCTCACCATATTATTTATTGTTACCAAATTCTGTGTTTTAGCATGTCTAATTATTTGAATGCATAAAACAACTTAATTTATTAATTTTTTTTCTTAAAGTAGCCTTATTTTTTCCCCCCTCAGAAATTCTGTGTTGTGTATTTACATTTTTCTGGTTATCAAATGAAGGCATAAAATATTGATTTCATTTATCATTTATCTTTTAATTATTGAAAATTAAGCAAACAAGATTTTTTGGCAAACAAAGGGGATTTACTATTAAAATTAAAACATGGAAGAAATGTTTTGTGTGATTATTCCTTGAAAAATATTGTTCGTTTCATTTTAGCAGTAGGAGTAGGCTATGTACATTCTACTTTGTACAAAACTGTGAATTCAGTTTTAATGACTGGATAAAGACTACACTGCGTAATGTTCCCGCTTATGCGGCCACTTGCCTGATGTAACATGAAATATCTTACATACCACCACTTGTGAACGAGCCAGTGTAACGCAAATATATCTGAAAGGTCTGTGTGAGGATATCATCACGTTCTTGCGAGACCAGTCGGATCTCGTCACACCCCTAGTCAATACTGATCCCAAACTTTTAAACGGTTCATCAGCATCGGCTGACAGTGGTTCATCTTTCAGCTGCTCTAGATATCTGCATCAGTCAACAATTTAAACTAAACTCCTGGTTTGTGGGATTTCAGGATTCCAAACAGCAACATCCTGAATTCAGACAGAAAGGTTCAGCAGAATCACTTCAGCTTTCAATTTAAAGTTGAGCGTTTTTATTCTGCAGTTCTCATTGTAAGCGGCAAATCTTTTTAATAACCTGCTGTCCGCTGCCTTTCTCCAATCTGTCAATCATCTCCTCGAACTGCAGGGCCTCCACCTCCAGTTTCTTTTTCAGCTTATTCACAAAAACCTCATCCTCAGAGTCCAGATCGTAGTCCGGCTGCTCCGTATCTAGACTGAAAGCTGTGGGAAGAGAGGCAGTGGAAGTTAAACAGACTCAAGGCTTAAGACTCCTTTCAGATATTATTTTTACATTTAGAAGTTTGCAGCAAGATAGCACAGCAGTTTACACAGATAAATTGCAAACACTAGCAAAAATAGCCAGTTTCAATCTGATTGGATGGCTGCTATAGAACTTCTGAGAGTTATAATGATTAAGTTTCAGACAGGTCAAATTCCCAGAATTCCTCACTATGGATGGGTATCGTTTACAAGTTGTTTTAAACCTGAATGAGCATCTTTCTTCTGTTGAACGTAAGTTATTTTGAAGAATGTGGGAAACCAAACAGTTAAGCAGAATAAGCACATGTTAGAACAGCATGCGAATAAAACGTTTAACCGGCAAGGCTTTAAAGCACGTGGAAATAATGTACTTTTGTGATTGTGAATAAGTCTCGTGAGTGTAACTCTACCGAATCAACATTTGATGTGAATGTGTCTCGCGAGTTTCAGTTGGAGCTGGAGCCACGAGACATAATACAGTGCATTGCTTGAGGTAGACGTTGTATTTTGTTAGTACATTTTTCATTATATTACTAGTGTTGCCTCCTTCGTTCACTATTACACTACTGTATATATTGCATCTGACACTGGTGTCGCTTAGTTTTGTAACACACACCGCGATGCCTGATCGCACGCAAACACACAGCACATGCGCATGGATATCACACGCACATCGAGCAAACGTTGGACACATCATTCAGTGAAGGAAAATGACAAAGAGCAGCTTCTAATTCGTCGTTAACATTGAAGTATACGGAGATAAAACAACGGAAGTATAGACAGTATCGTTTGTCCTGAAGCTTATCGGTACTCTGGTATTGACCCAATTACATACCAGTCCAAAAAAATACCGGTTCCTGGTACCCATCCCTATTCCCCACAATTTTTCTGTAACTGAAGTCATAATGCTGCATGATGTGACAAAAACCAATGAGAACGCATTTTATGATTAATAATCAAAGGAGCAAGATTTTGAGACAAAAACACAGTTTTTGACTGCCCACTCTGCGAACCTACACATTTTACAACACTAAGCCAGACAAAGAAACATCTAAGCGCATGACACACATGCCACACTATGTTTACTGGCACTGCATTAAAAAAAATAAATAAATAGCCTAAGACATAAAAAAAAAAAAGAAAAAAAAAAAGGAAAAGAAAGTTTGTCTCAGAGCAAAGCATCTGAAAAAAATCACTTACATTTTCTAACAATTTCTAAATAATCTTCTGTACAATCTTTCACAGACTACTTTCGATTTTCTAAATGGGCTACCACTTTGTTGCAAACTCTTTTATTAGGGTCGCATCGATTTCAGATTTACCGGCTTCTAAATGGCACATAAAACTTAGTTTTTTGTCCAAAATAAACCACATTTAGGAGACCTTTCAGACACAGTCTGGTGCATGCTGGAGCTAACAAACAATAAATCAATGAAAACTCACTTGAGTGAGTGATGTAAAAACACACATCTTGCCCATCAAGAGAATTTCAGAGATCCCAAGAGATGCATCTTAAACATGTAAACAAATTGCCCATTTGAACGGTGTTCCCACTACAGTTCCCAGCACCTCATCCTCACCTCCTCCCTCGTCTGGTGTGTGTGGGAGCGTGTTCATACGCTCTTTGACAGCAGGACACCTCCTGCTTCCATTACAGACACCCCAGGGGCCGCCGGACTCACTTAAAGGGTTAGTTC